ATATATATATATATATATATAAAACTGTAGTCTCGCTTAACGTCTATAGTACCACAGAGTGAGAAAATGTGATACTTTGTATTATTGACTTTTTTTGGTTATACTTCTGCAGAAATTCAGGGTGATTTGTTGACTGTAGATTTCCCTGAACAAAGAAACTGGACTGGTGTAGTTTCAGAAATGGAGCATGTGAGCGGTGCTGGTTCAGGTAATCTACCGTGTTCATCAAACAAAAACATGCTAAAAATATCTAGAACATTTAACTATTATAATATTACACATTGCATCTGAGAAGTTTTGTAATATTTTACTTGTTTCAGATTTGTCAACCAAAAATGGTCCATTTGACATCGATGTTGGAGACAGAGTCAGAGTGAAGCCTTCCATTACCACCCCAAAACATAACTGGGGTAGAAACGTCACTCATAAGAGTGTGGGTGTGGTGAAAGGCAAGATCTGTTTCCCCCCCTCATATACTGTAAATAATTTGTTATCAAGCAATTTCTCACTAAAGTATAGTGTTACAATATGAACTTGTTCTGTTTAGACATAAAAGATGATGACAGTGTGGTTGTTGACTTCCCTGGACATGCAAACTGGAAAGGAATTATCACTGAAATGGAGCTAGTAACTAATGATGATGATGATGAGATTGGTAAATAAATGTTTTAACATTTAAGTATTTAAGTAAATATTTTAAGCTTCAGCAGAAACACTCTTAATAATAAAGGTTGCAAAAGGTTCCGCAGTGAAGATTCCATGAATATTAAAGGTTCTTCATGGAACCATCAATGCCAACTTTTATTTTTAAGAGTGAATATGACTCCAAGCAGTACATATCTAGAGAGCCTACTTTAACAAAATAGTTATCCATCTGTTGAATGAGGCCCAAAGTGTTTAAAACAACTACACATGATCCATGATAAAATAATCTTTGAGTGTCTTCCATCAAGCACTCATCTTGGACCTCCATGTGATATTTCAGGACCTTCAAGTCTGGACTCCAATATTAAGATTGGAGACAAAGTTCGTGTGAAGCCGTCTGTTGTTTCTCCAACCCACAAATGGGGAGCAGTCACTCACAAAAGCATTGGTGTTGTTAAAAGTAGGAGCACGGAGTTTCATAACTTCTATTAGTCATACAAATTATGAATGTTGAAAGAAATTATTATTGTCTCACTGAATGCCTGTTATCACAGAGTGAGAAAAAGCAGCATACTTTACATTAATGATTTGTTTGTTTTTTGCGTTTGCAGAAATTCAGGGCGACTCCTTGACTGTAGATTTCCCTGAGCAAAAAAA